AAAAAGGGGGGGGGGGGGGCACGATGAGGGGGCATGATGAGAGAGAGGGAGAGGACAAGATACACAGGGGGGAGGGATGGGGTGCTCACGTTTCGCATGCCTGTGTTAGTTGCTAGACCATTGACGACGCGTCCTCGAGAGGACGAAGCATTGCTCTCACTGGACCGATCACCGACGGCCGATCGTTCCTTCCTACTTTGCCAAAGGTGGCTCAAGCCTTACCGCCAGCAGCAACAACTAAAAAAGCCTCACCGCCAGTGGGGAGTCTGGTCGAACTTGGCGTCGAAGTTGAGGAGGGGCCTCGACCCGAGCATGCTGTTGCCGGTCAGCTTGAGCTCGTCCATGGTGTGCACGTTCAGCACGTGGAACCTGGGCATAAAAAACAAAAATCAACACCAACATCAACAACCGAGAGCAACGACCGTACCACCGACAACATCAACATCAACAACAACAACAATCGCTCAGAAGAACACGGTAGGCGAAGCTGTTGACAACAGCTCACGACAAAAAAAAGGCGAGGCAAAAACGGCCAACCAAAAAAGCTTGCTCTTTCTTTGTACTTAAGAGTCTGTCTCACTTTGCCGAGGGGCCGGTCGGAGTCTTCCCCGCCCAGAGGTACAGGTCGGTCTTCTTGCGGCACTCCAGGAAGACACACGAGTTGCAGCTCTTGATCTCGGCGATCTCGTTAACGGCACTCGACAGGCTCTCGTCGCGGCCGACGTCCAGCTTCACGTCCTGTCCCAACACAAACAAACATACACCTCTGGTCAGTCGATTAGCGCGGTCGATGCTAACAATAAAAGCAACCTCGCACACTCTGTTGCTACAACCGTTTCTGTACTCAATCTGGAGAGTAGCCTTAGCCCCCCCCATGACGGGTCCCAGATCATCTCTTGTGTTTTCGACAGCACTGAGACCGACGGTGGTTAGCCGGCTAGCGCGGTCGATGCTAACAACACAAACACACGCCCCGGCAGAGGCCGTGACCGCCGCGTGGGACCGAGGTAACGAGAGCAGCGGCAGCAGGATTGGAATGACCAAACGTGGTAGAATAGCACCAGAAAATACCGGAGGCAGCGGTAGCTCGAAGACAGATATTTGGAGAGCCGTACAGTGAGATAAAACTGAAACCAGCTACATTGCTATTGCTGCTGCCTGATATACTGAAACCAGCAACATTGCTACTGCTGCTGCCTGCTGCCTACTGGGCAGAAAGTCTAACATACAAGGCACGATAATCAGCCAAAACAGAAAATCGTAAAACACAGGTATTCATAGTTCTCCGCTGATGCCATGAATTAATTACCATTCCCAGACCCTTGTCTATGCGTAGAGATGGACGTATTGTGTTACATTAAAAAAAGAAAAGAAAAAAAAAGTATCCAACCAAATCTACCAACGCGCTACACAACACGCCGCGAGAGAGAGAGCAAGAGCGCCTCCCAAAACTTGGTCTCCACCTTCTTGTGGTGGGGGATGAGCTTCCGGAGGTCTCCCAGGAGGTGCCTGAAGCGAGACGTGATGCCGCGGGACGAGAACAGCAACACCCTCTGCTTGTTGCGGTAGGTGCCGTCGGAGGCAAACTCCATCGCCGCCGATTGCCCTTCCTCCTCCTCTCTCACCGCCGCTGTAGTAGAGTCGCCGGCGGTGGCGGCAACGGCCGTGCTACCGTTAGCGGCGGCGCGGTCCTTGTCGCGCTGTCGGCGGAGGCGTTTGCGGAAGTCGGGGACGGTGCCGGGGTCGCTGTCGTCGTCATCCTCATCGTCGTCTTCGTTGTCGCTCGCCATGCTCTCCTCTACGGACGCAAAGCAAACGAAACCGCAAAATAAAACAGAGCGGGAAAGAGAGAGAGAGAGAGAGAGAGAGAGAGAGAGAGAGAGAGAGAGAGGTGAAAGAGAAAATCGATTGTTCCCGACAGATGGCCGACGTTGGGGAGATGATACTCTACCATTGCTGAAGACACCCACCTCCACAGAGGCCACAGTTTCCTTTTCTTCTCAACACACACTGGACCCGTAGAGACAATAGAAGGTACTGAGCGGAGACCGGAACGGTTTTTTAATGCGAAGACAACAACAAAAACTACAACTTGCTGTGCGATTGGGGCATTATTGTCTCGGGACGGGTAAAACTAAAGATAATACGCCCCCCCCCTCCCCTCCCCCGGGGACTTCAGGAAAACGCCTCTCTCGCCGAGGATATCGTAGGCCAATATCCACGTCGTCCTGCCGGACGGCGCGGTCTACACGCTACCACTGTGTGTGGAAACATAGCGAACGGTGGGATATTCGCATTTGGATCTGAATGGTTCCTGTATTTTTCAAACAGTGGTGTTATGGTTGCTTACGAAAGCAGAGCGCACTTCTTCCGCTGCTCTTAACTCGGCAGATGATAGCGCCGGCGCAAGCCTTTTCGTCTGGCGTAAGGTCAACGAGTGGTGTCGAGGGGTACAGCAGTGTGCGTCACCGCCACTCACCCTCTTGTCTTAACAAAAGACAAGAATTCCTTGTCTTAACTCAAGACAAGACTCTCTTGCCTTAAACGCACGACAAGAACCTCTTCTCATGAAGAGGGTGGTTTATCTCTTGCCTGGTATTTTTTTCCGAGGGTGTCGCTCCTTGTCTTCACTGCGGGCTAACTCAACCCCGACTGCTGTATACCGGACCTTACGGTAGGACTCTTAAAGCAGAACACCTGTTCTCATGGTCAACCATATAAATGGTCACCTTTACCCCGGGCTGTTTGGGACACGGCAGGATGAAAGTGGACGTTAACCAACCACCTGGGCTCGTTTGGTGCTGCTACTAGCTCTTCTTGACCAGGGTACCGTATGCGACACAAGACATCACACCCCCTGGCCCGATTTTCCAAGCTCCATTTATCAACAGCAGAAAGATTGGGGGTGCCGAAAACGGCGGCGTTTAAGCCTTCTGGTGGAGAGCTCTCTGAAAACGTATCGTTTCGTTGATGCATCCTCTTGGTCGTGGCGTAATCGAGTTTTGAAAATGGGTCCAGGGGGTGTGTTATCTTGTGTCGTATACGGTATATATATACCCGTTGTGCCGTTTGCACTCTACTTGTTTTCGTCTTTAATTCTTAGCTCCCAGGTTCCCGGAGTGGTGGCAAGTACTGCTTGTTGTGTGGGGGTGGTGGTGCTGTCGACGAGCCAAGCCTTCCCCCCCTCTCCCGCACCGTGCAAAAGACGGCCAGGACAGCAGCCCGAGTCGCAAAGCATCCCCTGGGCGAGCTTCCCGCACCGCTTGGGATTGAGAACGAGGGGTGGCGTCAGCTTGGAATACACAGCAACATTTGTTGAACTGCGTACCCCAGGTGACACAAGATACCACACCCCAATTGAACCGATTTTCAAAGCTCCATCACTCCACGACTACGTAGATATAAACGATGCGTTCTCGGGAAGCTCTCGACGAGACGGTTTCAATTCCGCCGTTTACTGCACCGCCATCTCTTTCTGCCGAGGACAAACATGCAACTTTGAAAATCGGTCCGAGGGGGTGTGATAAATCTCTTGTCCTACGGTACCACATGTGTTTAGGTCGTGCTCCCGCCATCCTCTCGACAGCCGGCAAAGAGGGATATTGTGAAGTACTTCAGAGAGCAGCGAGCGGGCAGGTGTACCTACTGCTGCTGCTGCTGCTGTTGTTGCTGCTGCTGGGCGGGAGTTGCTGTTATTGAGGCTCTCGATACGGCTGTTGATCAACAAACATCAGTCAGTGTCGTACCCGTACTACAGTACATCGACGGCTGCGCCAAAATGCTGGATCGTACGTGTCCTCCAACTGCCGTCCCGTCATGGCTTACGAAGTAATACTTTCGCCAACCACTACGGGGAAGCAACTGCAGGACACGACGATCCAGCAGGGTTGCAGCCGTGGATGGAGTACGGGTATATCCCAACACTGGTGTTTGCTCATCAACACCCCATGGAGAGCCCCCAACCGCAGCAACTCCCGCCCAGCAGCAGGAGCAGGAGCACTAAACCCCCCACGATCTACCTGTGCACCTTCATAATCACAGGCGGGGGGTCTTGCACGCGTGCGTATCGCGCCCATCGGCGAGAGCTGGAACTCGGTTTTTGGTATCACGGGGGCGTGTCGGATTGGCTCTCAGGGTAACCTACCGCCGCGCTCCCCCCGTAGAAAGGAGGGAGATAATATTGTCCCCCCGTATTAGGGACAGAGATAATATTGCTGGCAGGTTCACGTGCTACCGACCAATCACACGGCTTGGGTGTCAGCAAGGAACGTACGATCTGGAAGCCCCCGTACCCAGGTCGCATCATCCCCAACAGTACGTACGATGGTCGCGGGCAGCAGCGGTTGCCCTTTTGGGTCAAGTACCGTATACGACACAAGATAACACACCCCCTGGGTCGATTTTCCAAGCTTCATTTATCAACAGCAGAAGGAGTAGGGGTGCCGAAAACGGCGGCGCTGAAGCCTTCTGGTCGAGATCTCTCCGAAAATGTATCGTTTCGTTTATACATCCTCTTGGTCGTGGAGTAATCGAGCTTTGAAAATCGGTTCAGGGGGTGTGTTATCTTGTGTCGTATACGGTATGGGTACGCTTGAACGGCTCGGGCGTGGAACCGGGATGAACATGGCATCGCCGCATAGAGTCTGTGTTCAGCCGCGGGAGGAGGAACTCTGCTAATTTGCCCAGGTTTCAAGGTGCGAAGTATACACGTGGTGTCTGCTACCTGTGCCTACTGCTGTAGTCTGATACCGTTGACCCTTGCTCTCTACCAGTAAACTGGAGTTGAACGCGGCGTGGCTCTGTGAGTACGTTACTGGATTGAGTAGCCTCTAGACACATGCATGCCTTCGTACCCAGCCGACAACGATTTTAGCAGGCGGCCTGGGAAGGTTGACGGCGGCGTGAGCGAGAGAGATGAGAGCGGTGCCACCAGGTCGTCGTGTGTTGCCTCGTTAACACTTCCTGCTGTTCAAGCCCCAAGGGGGCGAATGGCGCCGCAGTCACCGGCGTCGGCTGCTGCTACACAAACCTGTAGCTTTCTCAGCGCTCCATACCAAGAAGCAAGACAACAAGCACAAAACCTCACCCAGCTATGACCGTGAGTTCACCTTCATCACCCTCCTCGTCGGTGCTATCCCTTCCCCCGACAGCCTCCTCCTCCTGCCCCCCTAGCGCCGCCGCCGCTCCACCGCCATTGACCGCATGAACCACTGATTTTTCCGCATTCTCATCTACTACGTCAACCGCAGCTGCTTCTTCCACGCCGGCTTTGGCTGTGGGCACAGGGACGGTGTCACTCCCTGTGCTCGTCCTCGCCCGTTTTCGTGCCATTATTGATTGCGAGGGGAGAGAGAGCGGTAGAGCCGTGGTAGCCGTGAAGCAGGTGGGCAGTGCAGAGTGGAAAAAACAGCAGCGTGTGTGTTGAGTTCAGAACCAGGAGAGGGGAGGGAGGATTGACGAAATTCCCGAACCACAACGCCTCTTTGTTCTCAGTGATCCGAGATCCAGGATCCAAGACTGAGGCAGCTGAACGGAGGCCAATTTTTTTTTTATTGAGATTGGTGGAATGGTCATCTGCACCTGACACGGCCACCTTCCGACAAATGAATCGATGGCTGTCTACACCGTTTGGGCCTAGAAGCCTGTGTGACGGCGCCGCTGCGCTGACATTGACCACGACGTCCCCCGTCAGAACGTCAAAAAAGTTTTTTGCGGAGGGTGCAAACGGGCACCTACCGCACTAGTACTCACAGCCACTCAGTTGTGTGATCGAGCATCCATTTGGTATGGTAGCTTCGCGCAGATACATCAAATTGCTTTGATGGGCCGTGATTGTCCTTGTACGATCATCACGTCGTTCGCATCCAAGCCCGCATGCATGCTTGATTGAGGTCGTTGAAGGGCCGGCCATCACATCGAATCTACGAAGAAGGCACCAAGCGAGGACGGGATGTGTTCGCCAGTCCGTCCCATCGTGACACGTTCTCACCAGACGTTGTCCAATCCAGGGTTTATTCAACCTCGCAAAGCTTCGAAGAATCGTAAAAGCCCGAAAAACATCTACTGCTGTACAGCGCGAACACATCGTCATTCGAATACTATCGCCTTGAAAGAACCGTTTGTGTCAATCCGTTGCTTGGGTGAAAAGCTGTTCCATTCAGCCAGTCACCAAACTATACCCATCACCTACTATACGAATAAAAGAAAAAGACCACGCCATACCACCGCGCTTACCCGGAGAGCAGGTGATCTGCTCCTTTTCCGCACTAATTATTACGCAACCCCCCGAGAACTGGTCTACGCACGCACTCTCATTGTAAACGTGAGTGGAGACTTGGATCTTTTTTGTAGACCGTTTCAACGTTCCCCCCTTATCGAAGCCTTCTCTTGTCTATGTAGCAATAAAAATGATGAGAAGGGGGGTGGAAAACGCGGAGGTGACCTTCAAAATAGGTCACATCTCCCCAACGGTTGTCGAAAACGAATATCTCTTTTCACGCGTGTAACTCTAGGATTTGGATCAGTGGCTGGACAAGCCCGCCACAAAGGGAGAGGAAGGGTTATAACCTTGGGCACACACGGCCCGGCGTTCGTGAAAATCTACCTCGACCGCTTTCAGGCGCGAGACGCAGTACCTACGCCCCTTCGTGCTATCGTTAAGTTATCTCTCGCCTGAAAACCCGATGTTCAACGTCGGCAGCAATACCTATAACCACACAGCAACGCACCGACGTACAACTTCCCTACTCCCAAGAAGGTACAGCGTCCCTCTTTTAGAACGTGACCGTGGCTGACGGTTGTGGTGTCGCGGTGTTTTCGTACGGCGACATGTACGGCTGTAAACGCATTAACAGACAGAGAGAGACAGAGAGAGACACACAGACAGACAGACAGACAGAACAGACAGACAGACAGACAGACAGACAGACAGACAGACAGACAGACAGACAGACAGACAGACAGACAGACAGACAGACAGACAGACAGACAGACAGACAGACAGACAGACAGACAGACAGACAGACAGACAGACAGAAGGAGAGAGCAAGAGACAGCCAGAGAGAGAGAGAGAGAAAGAGCAGTAGAAGGGGGGGGCAGGGAGATCGCTTGTGTGAAATGAAGATACACCGGGGCGGCGCGCAGTGTATTGCACGACACACGAACAATGGGTCTGCAGTCGTTCGCAGCTGTAAGGTGCTCGTGTGAGCATGAACCTTCGACGCCCTACGCATCCCATCAGCCAAGAGCTACCACACGTGTGACCACATGTACTGTACCTGAGGACTCGGGTCGCTCGGTGCAGCCGCTCGTAGCCGCGCTTCGAGAGTGGGAGCGTCAGGGGGCGGCCCGAGGTCCACTTTATTCGCCGGATCAACCTCGCCCCGAGCTCGAGTTGCCGCTCGTGCGCTCTTTATCCGGTCGTTTCCGGAGCTCTGACACGCCCGGACAGTTTTTACGATTTCAAAACCATCGTGCGGAAGGGTGTACGAAGCAGAGAGGGCGGGGAGGGGCGAGAGGGCGGTGGTGAACAGCCATTGTTTCGAGATATCCCCTGCTTCTGGGTATTAAAGCATTCAATACACTTGGTCTCTGCTTAGCTTGCTCTGGCTCGGGGGACGAACGGCCATGGTTCGGCAATACCTTCTGCTGTTCTCGAATAAATTTAAGCATTCAAGACACTTGGGGCACTGCTTAGCGTGCTCTACCTTGTTTGTTTTCTTGTAGGTCATATCGCTTCCGGTCAGAGTTGTGGTCTAAACAGGGACAACCCTGCTGAAACTGACCTGTCCGCCCGCGGTCGCCGGAAGGTTAGCCGAGCTCGACCTACCGTCGTTTCCGCCTTCAAAGTTCTCTGTATCGCAAAGCAATGCAAGGAAATTTGGAGGGCGTAGCAGGGTGAACGAAGAAACGTTACGGTACGCGGCTGGACATGGACATGCCGCGAGGGAGGAGGAGTCGTGCGTTGCAGCAAGCGTCCCCCCCCGGTAGGAACCGAGTTCTGTTCGGGACGCTCCCGTGGAAGGGCTAACAGCGCTTGTCGAAGGGCTACCACCTTACTACTAAGAAACCGCCACGATCCGGTGGAAGGACTGCCGTGAACGAGATGATCTGGGTAGTCCCAAAAGCCTGAATATGAATACCATCGCTACAGGCCTGAACAGTATTACCATCGCCACCGGCCTGAATACTACAGCGATCTGGGTAGTCCCAAGAGCCTGAATATCACGCCATCGCTGTGGTAGGTCGACTCTGCTGTAGTGTTCTTCAACAAGAAAAGAGAGGGGAGGGAGAACACGCGTATTTGTTCAAAACCCTATTTGGGTGGACACAAAGTTTGCTGCTACGGGTCGTCTCAGAGCATAAGCCATTGAGACAACCTGGCTGGCCTCCGCTCACAGACCCTCAGGATACAAGTTCTGGGGTTCAAACACGTTCATGGCGCTATTCTTTATGCGCCCTCACCGTCCGACCAGTTATTGCTGTCGTTGTTGTTGTTGTTGTTGTTGTTGTTTCCCGCAGGTCGGCGTCTTCTGCGCGGAGCATCTGAACGGCTTTTGCCGCGCTTCATTGCCTTCAACAGCGGGGCGAAGAGTGCAGGAACAACGGTATGATCCTCAAAATTTGCGGTAGGAGCAGCGCCGCATGCAAACCTACCGGTGGTCTCGGCGCTAATCCAGTTATCTGCCTCGTGGTTTACCTCCCCAACGTGCGGTTTGACTTATAATTCGGACTTTGGCGTACCCACCACCACGGTTGCCATACAATACACATATGTCTGCCAACCAATCGGACGTGCGACCTTTATGCGCATGCAAGGTATTCACACCTTCTGAATGAGCTTCGCCGCCTTCTTCTGGTTGCGTTTGGTGTTCTCCATGATGCGTGTTATCTCCTCCTTCTGCATCTTGGCCTGGACAGGGCAACGTACATGCGCCACTTCCAAAACTAAGCCAGCGCTCACACTACAGAGTCAAGGCAAGTTCCCCACGTTTTCGCGCTTGATTGTTTGGGCCGGCCTAACTTTCCCCAACGGTTGGTCTAGAAGGTTTACGAGAAACACGGTCTGAGGAGATCATAACTAAAATGCCACAGGAGTAGGCGACCGTGGACTCAATACAGTGTTTCACAGATAGTAACCGATCCCCATTCCCTAACTCCGGGATTCGTCGCGAAAGAAACGTGGTTTTAAGCAAGCGTTTGATCCGTAGTTGCCGGATACTTACCTCAAGGGCGGCTCTTCTCCTCTGGTTTATCATCTCTTCCTTTCTCGTCGCCATCTCTTCCGTGCGGCGATCGGCCTCCTTGATCTGACGAAGGGTCTCCAGCCGCTTGTACTCCTGCACGTGGCGGAAGCAGCAGCAGTAGCAGCAGTAGCAGCAGTAGCAGCAGTAGCAGCAGCACGAAGAGAGTTGAACAAAAGAAACAGGGTTGGCACCTACGAACTTCCACGGAGACCCGGGTGTCAACGTTCTCGACGCACCTGGCGTGTCAGGGAAAACTTTCTGCCTGGCCTCCTTCGTTCGAGGATTGCTGCTCAAGTCGCTAGGAAGCATTTGCACAGAAATTGCCGATGTCCACGACAGCAGTTAAGGCATGGCATGCTCTATCTACGCTGCTTCAACTTTAGGAGTTTGGTCCTCCCACCCGTTAATATGCCCCTGAAGCGAGGGAAGTTGAGGACGGTGTGCCACATTGTACGTTGAGGCAGTGAGAAAGAGCTCGGGGTCAGCAACAAATGTGCAGGGCGTATGATTTCTACCATTGATGCCTGAGCAAGCTCTTATCAAATTGTCAGAGCCATATCGCATATTCCTTGCTAAGTCTCCCTTTGTTAGCTCTTGTAGATGAAAGCGGGTCCAATTCTTGAGTGACCTTTGGTCTGGCGTGGTTCGATCTGCCCCATTCTCTATGTCAGCCTTTACCAGCTTCCCCGACGGGTTTCTGTCCCTACGCCTTGTTTATGATGTCATCTGGAATGTCATCTCCAAAGCTTCAGCAACGAAGGCGAACACTTGCCAATAGAAAGACCTCCAGCGCGCAATTGGAATTGTGTTCAAGTGTTCGCACAGACCTCCCGCTTCGGCCCCCGACCCCCCCCCCTCCCGCACGCCTACCACAAACACACCTGGATGCGTTGGATGCGGTTGACGTTTTCCATCTGCATCCGTCCGGAGGCGATCGCCCAACCAAGAAATGCCCCGGTAGAGAAGCCGCCACGAGAACATTTTAGGTAAAATTGCAGATTTTGAGAATGTGTTACTTCGTGGTGCGACCGCCGAACCTCTCTGCTACCACACGATACGGGGTACAAAGCAGCATCTGAATCACGGAATCGATGCGTGTCAACTTGAGTGTGAGCGTGTCCGTCAACCACGTGATTCTAACGAAAGGAATACGATACGACGTGGTGCACACACGCAGAGCTATTTAGCAGACTGTGCCACCTTGACTGTGTTGAATGTCGCGTCTAGCATGAGCCACCTCTCAGAGAGAGGCTATGTGCGTTGTTCGTGCACACCTTGAGTTGTTTCTGCAGTTCGTTTCTCTCCTTCTGGATGTAACGTTCGCGAGCCCTGCGCTCCAGCAGCTGGTGTAGGTACTCCTCCTCCTGGGCGCACGGAAGAGTCCACAGTAGCGCAAAAGTACACCAACAACAAATAAGCACGCGGTTCACACAAATGCAGTTCGCTTCGGAGGTGCTCCGCAGCATTACATTGTTGTAGGCGACATGTATGTACGACATCTAGACAATGCTGAAAAGGGGGTTAAGGATTATGTTTTTTTCGCCTGTATTGGAGAAACACAACAACCCATTGCTTGTCCGAGGAAGAAGAACGAACTCCGACAGACCCTTTTCCAACCCCACGACCCGTACGTTTCTGGTGCTCGGGCTACACGCCCTACCCCTCACTCGTCGAGGCCGTACTGTGCACCCACCTGCTCAATCCGGGCCAAACCGGCCTCCTTGCGCGCCTGCTCCTCCGCCCGCGATTCGTCGAGAATGATCATCCTCTTCTTCTCCTGGAGGTAGCGCTGCCGCGCAAGCAGCTGCCGCTCTTCCTCGGAGCTGTGCAGGACAAAGAGGGCATGTTCCCAAGGTTTTGCTGCCACGGTTAATGTAGTTTTCACTTGTTGAGTGGGGTACCAAGGCTTTGCCTGCCGCCCACCCTTATCATGCCTGGCAGTCTAATGCTGCGTGTCCTGTCGACTGTGTTTGACTGTACCATGCATGGTCTACCCAGAGAGAGACCCATTCCCATCCGAGAAAGCGCAGCGTGGACACGGACGTCAAAACATGATCGGAAAGAACGGTAGCGGGCGTAACGCAATTATGACCGCGTTCTACGGCACAAACAAGAATGCAAACGCACGCGCCCTCCCCGTGGAACTTTCCCAACTATCGTACCGCATGCGGGCTATCCTACGCTTCTCCTCGTGTTCGCCGTGCTTCTGGAAGAAGTTTGCCTTTCGCTGCTCCTCAGCCTGATGTGAGTGAAACCCAAAGGAGGGAAGCGATAATGGGCAGGGGAAGAGCGGTGTAGGAAAAATACTATGCTGCAGAGAGGGGTATCTGAATTCTTCGACGTGTTCTCTGTCTGGATTGGCTGCATCCCCAGGGTTACGACATTGATTGTCGACTTGAGGGCGAAATGCCGTTTCTGCGAGGCGTGCGCTCATTCCAAAGCTGCAGGGAGGGCTGAAGAGGCAGGAAGGGTAAGCGTGATACCGCACGACTTCTGATCGAACGCTTCCCACGTCCCACGATAATCGAGGTGGGGTTCTAAAGTATCGGCAAGACTAAATTCGTGCAAAATCATCACACGCATGGAGTTGGTGCTCCCAAAGACTCCAGCACACCCATTCATCGGGGGGACAGGATACTGTCCCTGCCCGTTCACACCAAACGAGACGTACAGCGTGCCTGAAAAGCCCCATGATCGCAATAAGACCGTTGAGAAGTCTATATCGTACAGAGCGATCAGCTGAATTAGCTCGCGGAGAGCGGCGTACAATACCGAGAGCCAACACCGACCGACAACCCTCCCTCACCATTGCCGCCATCTTGAGATTCTCCTGGATGCGCATCTTAACCCTCGACCTCCGCTCTCTAAGATCGGCCTTCTCCTTGGCCTGCTGCTCCTCCACCTTCAGGCACCGATTCGGATCGAGAGACAGCCCCCCAGAGGTTGCTAAATGAACACGCAATTCAGGTTAAGGTATGCTGCGACCCGACCAAAGTGAGATGCGTCGGAGATCTGTTCCGTTTTCGTCAAAACGAAGATAGATACAGGTGCGGCACACACAGGACATCACACACTATCTACTACCGAACGAGTACAACGTTCATTATTTTTGCACCCCTGGCGGTAGATGCGGCGAAGATATTACTTCGCAAGTAGTGCGTAGGTTTTACAACAACACCCGCCAATGTTGAGTACCGAACGCACGAAAAACGTGGCTGGGGCTAGAACAGTGCACTTGCTCGCCATCAACTCAGAGTGTTGAACATTTGGTCGCAAGAGGTTGACCACCAAAGCCAAATCAGAAAGCCACAGACCTTTCGTTGCCGCTCAGCTTCTTGCTCCTTCATCTCTTCCATACGCTTTTGCATCTTGAATTGCTGGTCTTCCAGAATACGTTGCGTCTGTCCAAACAAGAACAGAAGACGAGAATATGTTGTTTCTGTCGTTGCTGCTTTGTCGATGCTTGTCCTTCGAATGAACTCTATCCAGACTCCCTTGTCTCGTGTTCTTCGCCGCGGCAAGGAACGATACTTCGTGACCACAAGGTTTGGATAAATTACAATATGTAGAACTCAGAGAAAACCCACCCACACTTGACAAATAAAAACAAAATATCCGAAAAAGTGCCAGCCCAAAAAAAATGAGGCAGGGTAGGGCAGGAGAAGTTATCAACAAAAGACCCAAAGCCAACGCTCCAACTCGAGAGGGGATAGACCTGCTGATCAGGACAGCAAAAGGATTAGATGAAACTCAACAGCACTTACGTTGGGCAACTCACCTCCAACGGTATCCCCAACCGTGGCCACAAAGTGCCCTCCTCTACATCCTTCTATTGTCTCTATCTAGGTTGAAAATTAGCGCAAGAACAAAGATACACCCAGCACGTCGTTACGGCTGGTGCAACTCGTATTCGTGAGATATACACCCGTATGTACGCACCTGCAAGCGGTGCTCTTCGGCCTTTCGGACGCGCTCCTCCTCCCGATTGCGGGCGTCCGCCTTGGCGAGCTTTTCCCTTCGCTCTCGCTCGTCCGCTAGCTCTTGCTCGCGCTGGTGCGCCGCCTTCGCCAGAGCTTGTCTTCGTACCTCCTCGGCGTCCTCCAGCGCCTGGAATCAGGTTTTCAAACTTGAAGAAATAACGATACATGTGGCCGGTACTTGCTAAAATTGCTAAAATACTGCCTTACCCCAGTGCAAAGAAACGTGTGGTGGGCACTCCCTTCGTGACTCGTCAACGGCTACCGCGGCCAAACCCCTCTTCCCACAAGCTCAGCTTGACTCTCAATGGCAAGACGTTGGAGTCCAGCACGGTCTTAACTTGCGAGATTTATCGCGGCACTCACCAACACTGAATGTCGGCACTTCCTTATAAAAAATCTCGGCCTTTCTTCATTTGGAACCTTACTCCTTGCAAGAAAGGTGACCAGTTGAACACTCATACGTACGTGTGTCTCATTGTTCCCCACCAACGTTTCCTTTTCTTTGTCAAATAGCTCCCGTCTCATCCTGATTCCTTCCAGTCGCTTGTTCCCGGCAAGTGAGATAGCCTCGCAGACACTGCATCAAGTACCTTCTTCTTCAATTCGCGCAACCGCCTTTCCTCGGCGATCTCTCGTTGCCGCCGATTGCGCTCTCTCAGGCGCTGCTCCTGTTTCCGGCGTTCGTTCTCCGCTCTCGCATGGTTCTCCTCCTGCGAGGAAGGGCGAGCGCGCGGAGGATATGAAAGAGTTAATAAACACATATATGTAACACGAGGCAACACCAAACCGAGCTCAACAAGTTGAAAGAAGAAGATCAGAAAGGAGTACACGTTGGTGATAATCCGACGAATGGCGTACGGATCCGACATACGCTGCAGCAGGGCTGGCTGGCCGTAGCAATCCCATTAGAGCACATTTTGACTCATTTTTTCAAGGATCCAGTTCGCCTTGTATTTCGTCCTTTTTCGTTCTGTGCGAACACACGAGGGACAGCGATATGGCGCCATAAGTATTCGGCAGGGGGGTAGAGCCAGAAGAGAGCAGCGGCTGCTCACCTGAACCCTCTTCTGCTTCGACTCCCACTGCAGCAGCTGTTCCAGCTCCTTTTCCTACACGCCACCCGGAGGATGAAGCAAGGAGCCCATATTTAATTCCCGCGACGAGAGAGAGAGGGAGAGCGAGCGGTGGTCATCGCTCAGCGTAGGCGTTGGAGTGGTCGAAACATGGGTTCGATGCGCGAGAAGACACCGCAGCTCGAATGGGCCATGTCTTCAGATGAGCATCCAGTTTCATTGCTCGAAAGCCCACACGCCGAGGGCCAACAAAAATGCCAAATTAAGGAGGCATGGTGGCGGAGGGGGGGTAACTATTAATAGCAATCTCCAGGCAAGCTAGAAGAGAAGATTATTGTATCGATATGCCAAGAGCTGGGTCATGTTGGGCGATAGGCTGAAAGACGTAACCATTCTATTGTTTTACAAGGCAACGAATACAACGGTGCAGTCACCTGTCGACGCTGCATCTTCTCGAGCCTGCGCTCTTCCAGCTCAATCATGGTGGCGTTGGCTTTCTTCTGCTGGTCCAAGAGCTGAGCAGGAGTCAGCACGGCTCCCCCGGCCATGTGAGACAGAGCCAGTTGCTGCTTGGATTTTTCGACGATGATAGCAACAGGAGGAAGACCCGGTCAATCTTCACACTACAGTACATTCCTGCTCCAAGGTACGTCTTGAGGCCGGCAAGGTATGACAAGAAGAGAGCGCCTTGATATGAGAGTGCCGCATTCACACCAGGCGCAACTTGCGCAAAGCAAAGTAAATGCGCGATGCTCAGCACCCGTAGCGATAGCAAACGACATCACTCTCCTCGGACGCAACCGTCGTTGACCCCTCTCCCCCCGTCCACTGACACCCCGAAACACACGGGTGGGCTCGAACGACCGTAATTCAGAAAAGGAAACCGAAGTGAGCCGAAGTGAACCGAAGTGAACCGTCTACGAGAGTCTTTCTCTCTACGGATGGATGCGGAGATCTTCGGCCAATGCGACACCAACGGCACAACTTTACTTGTCTCTCATCGACAAGGCTGTGTTTCGTGATATATTGCTCGCCTTTTGCTCAGCGTTGATGAGCCTCTTCCTCTCCAGCCGGCAGAGGCGCATCATCTCATGCCGGCGCTGACTGTAGGCCTCGTGCCTCATCCGCTGCACCTCGGGCTCCACCCCCGGCTCCCAGAAACTGTTTCGACACGCCACCAATGCCACAAAAACACAAGGCAAACACCAAAACAAGGCGACTGAAAACTAGACTCGCAAAGCACGGCGCACGAGCGATTGCGCAGTGGGTAAGGTGTGCTTCGGTATATACTAGAAGAGGTTCACGCGATGCCTGAAAAAACTGTCGACTTTCGGTTCAAACCTTATTAGCAGATATTCGTGCACGTAATTTACCTACCGTACGGGTAGGATATGCCTCTCTCTATAATGTGTGTTCACCCTGTTCTGGAAGCAAAAATCCACGTGTTGCAAGCAGGTCTCGACCAAGCGTTACAATGCGAGTCGTCCAAAGCTTTTACTCTAAGTGCGCTGGAGCGTTTGCCTCGTCACCTGTCGAGATCACGCACGCGAAGGATCTCTGGGTTGACTCCATGCTTGAGGCAGGACTCCGCGGATCGCGGCGTGAGCACAACCCTTGCAGGTGGCGGGTTGATGCCGCTCACCTGGCAGGAAAGGCACGCGACAAGGGGCAGTTGCGGGAGGGAGTCCAGAGTGAGATAAGCAACGGAGCTTCACACGTTTTCGGGTCACGTATGGAATCGAATACGCTCTGTTTGGGAACGGGGACTAATCCTCCAGGTCTCTTCACGAGAAAAACCAAAGGAGGTCACAATTCGCGCCCTGGTACTGCGTTCCCTTTGCGATCACCTGGGCTGGTCGCTGAAGGGTGATCAGGGGACGTCAACACTGACCCTCCTGTTTTTTGCGCCAGTCATTGTTGTTGTGGTGGATGTGTCTTCACAATAAAAACCGTCCCGGTCTCTGCCCAGTACCTTCTAACATCCGTACCGATTCAACTGACGCGGACGCCTCCCTGGCCACAGGTCAACTACAACTACAACCAAATATCACGACCAGTCAGGAATGAGGCGGTGTGTTTGCTTGAAATCCACAGGTAGGTGCCCTCGCGTCCGTTCCTCGCCCAACAGCAGGATTCGGCTCTTTACACGGGGTGCAAGAACTCCTGGTTCGTAAATAACAAATGTATCTTACCACAGCACTTCATGCAAATCGTGTATGCAACTCTAGTTTCCTGGTGTCTTCCGTGCGCAACGGATCAGTCGTGGCAGGCTTCTGTTCACCACACTACTGTATACCACTCTGTATGCATAGTCTATGTACACGTTCTGGCACGTTGAGCCACTACTGGCCCGTTTTCCAGTCGTTCGACCTTCCAAACAACTGCTGTGTTCACCACTGAAAATCGCACTACCACCTACAACCGAAAGAAAGTTATGTGCACTCTACTTGTACAGTTGCCGCGACCGAGGGAGGTCACAGTTGGATGTTCATCCACGAATAAATGGACGGCACGAAGCACATGATCGCATCCGAGAGATTGCGCGCGCGGAAAAAGAATCGAATTTGAACACACGAATGTTATTTGATACCATTTGTGCACTAGACAAGAGCACCACCACCCATCGTCCGACCTGAACTGTAGAGATGGTAACGAAAAGGTCCTCAACGCTCATCGCGGGCTCTCCGCCACATGCCCCCCCCCCCCTTCCCTTCTTCTTCTTGTCCCTTCTTCGAGTTGACGCTCCAGCACTGCTAGGAGGAGCACCACCCTCATCACCACGAGACGACGTAGGTCCTCCCAGTTCTGACTCTCGTGTCGATGGAGGGGCCTTACGCTCGTCGACATCGTGTTCAGGTTCATCTGCTGCCCCGGGTTGGTCCTGTAGCCGCCCGCTACCTGCGCTGTCGGCCGTCTCAACGTTCTCCCGGCTAGCATCATCAGGTGCGGACACGACCTCTTGCTCGGCCATTGTTGTGCCCACCCTGCAGACGTGTCCGCTTCTACCGAGGACTATCGGCCTTGACCTAGCAACTGTGACAGTTTAGAATCCCAGGCTACGCGGGGGCCTGGGTTGCCGAGTGTGTTGGGGGCTGCTTGCGTACTTCTCGAGGACGGCCTCGTTTGCGGCGAAAATACGAAAATACCCGTACCCACAAAAATCATCCCAATCGAAACCGTCGTCGTTTGGTCGAAACGGCACATCCCATGTGCGTACCCTCCATGAGTTACACTCAACACCGAGGATACGTACGGACCTTACAGTTCAGTGCTCCTCTTACGTACGTAGCGTGGAGATCTTTGATATTCCGACGCGGGCTGAACGTTTACGCTCCTCCGTGGAATGAACAAAAGACTACAGAATCAAACGCAATTTTGTTTCAAAAAAAGCTGTGAGCTGGCTCCAGGTCTTCTTCAACTTGTGTCGTTGTTTACGGTAGCAATCGGCACTTGAGTCTGGTAGAGTTTTGAGGAGCTATCAGGCTGCAGTCTGTGACCTCATCAACGAGTACACGTGGACTTCGTGGCAACGACAAGGTAATTCCAGCGTCCCGATTGTTTGCTCAGAAAGTACAACTTTTGGGCACCGCGGATTGTGTCCACGTCCGTCAGTTGGACCAGAACGGATGAAAGGTGAATGAGCAGAGATCGGAACCGTTTACAAGGGGAAGACAACAACGCCATTGTCACGGCTTTCGACGGTTATTTGATGTCCCTTCCGCATGCACAATGATGTCATACACTACTGCTCTAGTGTGGCATCAATTGACAAGACTTTACACATCTCTTGGTTTCATCGATGATATTGCGTGCGCACGTCAAATTTACCGTGCGGACTGGACAACAAAAGTAGAAGCACCACCTAGCCAGGATGGACGTTACAGCTGAAGCTTCCTCTGGACCCGCAGAATGGTGCACAACAACGGGCACGGAACAAATTTCGTCTAAAATTAATACTTGGATTCACAGCACCGATTGCTCTCTACACCCACGTGTATTGCCGAACACAAATCAGGGACACAAACACACGACTGACTACAGCATGTCCTCTAGACTACACGAAAATACACAAACCGTTCCTCGTCAAAGCTGTGACTCAAGACCACCATTCTCCCGAAGCAAACCGGCATGCTCGCTCACACATGCGAGGTATCTCATCCTCCAAAACTAAAAAAGAACAGCTTTCGTAAAAAGCAAACCTTCCCCCCCTCCACAATTAACCACGCCCCCCCCCCTTCCACCCGCCCTAGACACAGGATGGCAGCACCTCCAACGGCCTTAGGGGCACAGCAGTAGAGCGACCTATGGAGGTGTCGGCGACAAGCGCAATTCCTCGAGGAGTTCCCTGGCGATGGTCGACTCTCCCCCACTCCAACGCGAAGGAGAGAGCGGGGACCCCCCCCCCCATCTCTTCCGCGTCTCCCCCTTACTCCTCCTCCTCGTCCGCACACGAGCCGACTCGGTGGATGACGCTATCTCGCAGCGAGGCCAGCTTCTCCTTGTCCCCCACGTGGTCCCACCAACCGAAGACGAACTTGTCGATGATGTACGCCGACCACGGGGTGAACTCCACCTCTCCCCGCTCGGCCCTCGCCAGGAGCGACCGCAGCCCGTCCTTGTCTAGGAACTCAGCGTCCGACACCTAGCATTACCACATGCAACAGGGAGGGGTGTGAGGTGTACCCTGGGGTGGGGTTGACGATGCCTTCGCCAGGATAGTTACACGCTTGGTTTCACGATTAGGGTTACGAAGCCCCCCTCTCTACTTCACAAATGTTACAGTGGTGGGCCCTGTACAGTGCCGGCCGAATAGCGTCGGTGTGTTAATGGCTCGCACACTCTGAAATACCAAGTCGTTCTGCACTGTGAATAGTACCGGTGTCCGGTATATTGCCGGAAAAAATCTCTGGACACATACCGGCCCTATACAGCTATACAGGGTCCACTACCGCAACAATACTATCCTCTCGAAGAAGGTTCTGGGATTTGGCTGGGTTGATATACATCTCGAGGACGACGAAGAAGGGAAAGCCGTTGACTGCCACTCTTCATTCTGTTGAAACCAACGGTGAACATGGTACATGGCTCGAGAGAGGTTCTGACTATAATACATACAACCGAGCACGACTGCTGACCCTTTTTGCGAGCAACATCTCCTCCGCTTGCCTCATTGGGGTTCGGTTCCAGATCGACGTCCGCCTGTATCAAGTACACGTAGTCGATCTCGTGCTCCCCCCAGGTCGACCCAGAGTTCGCGATGTAGTGCACCTGTAGGTGGATAGTTCCCATACATATCGCGTCGGAAAAGCAACGAAAAGGGGGACTCGTCACATGAGCTTGACCATGAAACAACAGGTGGACATCATCCAGACATACAAGGCCAAAACACCACGGGTTTGAAATATTTAGGGAGTGAGCTTCACGAAGGAACAACAGGTTGACATCATCCAGACAATAGAACACGAAAGGCCAAAGCAAAACAGACTTTAGGCAGTGAGCTTGACCAAGGAACAACAGGTTGGGATCATCCAGAAAACAGAGCACAAACGGCCAAAGCACCACAGACTTTAGGCAGTGAGCCAAGGAACAACAGGTTGACGTCATCCAGACAACAGAACATAAAAAAGCAAAAAACACCCCAGACTTCATCTAGGCAGTGAGCTTGACCAAGGAACAACAGGTTCACATCATCCAGACAACAAGAACCCAAACATCACAGACCACGGCAGTACAGCAGCATCTACGGTTTGCTTCGTCACACAAAAACGCGCACAGCAAGAAAACACACACCTTGGTGAGGAAGGAAAAGTCTTCCAACGGGAGCTGCGCGGCTGGGATGCCCAGCTCCTGTCCCAGCTTTCGCACCGCCGCCCGCGTGGCCCCCGCGATGGCGGCGTCGCCCTCGCTGGCGCTCTTCTCCCCCCTCGGCGTGGTCATGTCGGTTCCCATCTCGACGTCGTTCCAAAGGGGGTGACTGCAGCCGCGGGAAGGGAGAGGGGGATGGGGGGGGGGGTGTACTCATAGACGTGCATGCTATAGGCGTTAGACCATTGACCTCGTATCCCTTCACAGCCGGGACGGAGCACGCCGTGTTCTCACCGGACCAGGGGAGGGCGTACTCTCATGTTCCCATGCCTTTTAGCTCTTACACCTTTGACCTCGAGAAGAGGGTTTCCGCAAGACCGATCTCCGATGGCCAAACGCCCCTTCCTACTTCGCGAAAGGTGTCCTAAAAAAACGTGAGAAGACACACAGCCGTCCGAACCCCCCCCCTCCCCACACACACACACTTCGCGAGGATATTAAGCTTGGTTTCAGTACGGGTTACGGCTTTGGATTGGGTAGGGGTTAGGGGTTAGGGGTAAGAGGATAGGATTAGGTTAGGGTGAGGGTCGCCCTCAATACTTCATACAGTGGCGGCTGCGGTTTACGAGAAAACTACCGGATTTAAGAGAGAAATACTCGCTTGTCACGACCCTCTCTTAAACCGTAGCCGCCACTGTATTACATCCTCGCGAGGGCTAACCCCTACGCACCTGCAGCACGTGTTGGTCCAGTACCCAGCGAAGGTGTGCTTCGAGTCCGCCCTCCTCTGCATCAAGACCCTGCCCTTCTTGTCGAACAAGAACACGGAGAAAGCTCGGTGCAGCAGCAAGCCTTTGCTGGTGAGGTGTGTTTCCACCTTCGCCGGGAGGAGGAACGGACGGAGTAGTAGGCAGAGTGGATTGACGACAGCAATAGAGAGAGAGAGAGAGAGAGAGAGAGAGAGAGAGAGAGAGACTCAGGCCAACTGCTGCTGTGTGAGTCAAATCAAGATCGGTCGACTCGTCCAATCCAAGTGTCATCTTAGCGGCACCGGCGAATCGCGCGGACGGTAACGGAAGCGGTGCAACTACCAAAATAGGGTCACGCAAACCCAAACCAGTCGTACAGCACGTGGTTGCAGCCAGCACTCCGCGTGTCAGATTAGACAGAAACGCTCGATGAGCAAACAGAGCCAGGCACACTGTTACAGGACCATCTCGCATTCCAGCCAGCTCTCTATGGCAGATGACGGAGCACATATCAGAGCGCGGGGAGAACGGGATAAACTGCCTGTGTATCAAAATGTTCGCGTTTGTGGTCGTGGCCGACATCGGCAGCGGAGTCCACGGCCCCATACACACGTTCTGGTGAACGTGGAAATTCTCGACAACATGAAACAAAGTACCTACGTACGTATACCACCCACCTCCTCGCATGAAGCGGTGCAACCGCCACCAAGAAAAACGCAAGGGTAAACACGATACACTGGTACGGTTCAGGTTCCTCCTGCTCTCAAAACCGCAGCGAGAAATCTTCTCGGAATTTCCTCCTCGCACGTAATTTAGCTACACCTTGCTAGCGGAGCCCGTGGGTCTGTCGTTCCTGTCCACCAGGATGCACTCCTCCGCCATCATGGCCGCCTGCTCCTCGTCCAGCACGCCCAGCTCCTCCGCAAAGGCCCCAGACGCCGCCGCTGTTGCCGCCCCCGCGGCGGGCGCAGACGTTGGCGCCGAGGCAGCCAAGGCCCGTCCTGCCGCCGTCCGCCGTAGTTGGTGGTGGCGGCGACGGGGGTGCCGACACTTCCGGCATGAAGCCAGCGTTGGTGGTGGTTGTGCTGCGGCAAACACGTTGGGGTTCACAAGACGGAAGGTTGGGAGGGATGCGAGCACGTCGCGACCTCATCGCTACTATTCACGGCAGAACACAGGGGGGAAATGGAAAGAGAGCGCCAAGGACCCGGAGGCGTGGTACAACAAGGTCGAGGACGGGGCGGCATGGTTCATGAGGAAATGGCACAGACAGGAGGCGGAAGCGTCCGCGAAGCGTCAGCGCGCGAGGGAAGCAGAAGCAGGGAGTACGGCTATCTCGGGACCGAAGAGAAAGAGAGTCGGGGAAGCGGCGGTGGGGGGGAAGAAACGGCGACCGGGTGCTGCTGCTGTAGAAGCGAGTAGGGCGGCCGAGGCAGTACTTGTGGCGAACTATGTACCCGGCTGATATTGTTGCGCCCTGTTCCCCTGCATGCTGCTGTATGCTATTCTCCTGTATGTCCTTTGCATTGCCTAAGGCCTCAGTGCTGTGCTTCTTTTTTTCATGTCCTCCCTGCCTACTCTGCCTTGTTGGGTACCTTGATCTCCCTTTTGCCGTTATTTTTGCTTTTATATAGATGGCTGTCTGCCCATCTGCCGCCTCTTTGTTCTATTGCCTCCATTACTCCCATGCCCTGGTGCGTAATGCCTGATGCTGGTACGGTACCCTTTGATTTTTTAGGCGGGTGTGGGAAGCGCTCCTTTTTCCCTTTTTTTTTGTTTTGTTTTATTTTGATCGGTTTCCTAGGGCTCCTTTTCTCGACCGGTCGGTGCGGTAGCTGTTCTTTTCTTCCTATCATTTTGTTGTCCCACGGCGTCGTATGTGCCGGGTTTTGCGACCACGGGCTCCCCATTTTTTGTGGACTTTAGAGCTAATGTGAGAGAAACAACACCAAAAACATTTTGTGCGTTGTCGTTCGAAAGATGGAGCGGCGAGAGAGAGGGAAGGTGGTTGGGTAGGTGTTTCTGTCTCCCTACATCGTTATAAGCACACATGGAATATTTTCATGTGTTTTTGCCGCCAGGAGAATACCTAGATTTCGGAGGGAATGCGTACAGATTTAGCAGCTGAGATTTAGTGTACTTGTGACACCACACGGCGGTCGCACTGCTAAATGGCCACATGGCGTGCATGTAGTCTCGGGTCTCGGGTACATATCGATCACATGCGAGTAACAGCAGTGCACATACAACGACACAGGGCAGGCGAAACGAGGGCGACAGGTCTACTGAGTCAAGAGGGACTGAGGCACTCCTATTCTCGCAGAACATGCAAGCAAATCGTGCTCCTCCTACCTATACCAAGCAGTACCTCGTGTTGTCGGGGATCTCGCATGTTGCTGTTGGCGGATTCCTACCGCTGAGGCTGACTGCGGCCCAGGTCCGAAGAAGGCTGTTGCTGGACACGCAGCCCCCGCCAGCAGAAGCACTGCCAGAAGGCTAGCAGGTGAGGTCCACGAGAATGCCATCCTTCCCCTCTGTGTTCCCCTTCTCTTGCACATGCACGGAGGTGCCGCCGACTGCGACTCCTGTGTTGCTGTCCGAAGGGGTCGCACACAGCGTATGGGGGATATCTCTGTGTACCATGATACAGCGGTGCCCCTCCGGGGGGGGCGACTGCATGTGTGATGTGTCTTTGTGTCATCATCATCTCCTACTACTGCCGTGGGGGGTTAGTCCTTGGTCCCAGACGCACAATGGGGTGGAAGCCTGTGCCGAGGACGGCCACACCGTTGAGGAGATGGTCGAGCTACAGCTCTTCAGCGATTCTGGTTCTCCTGGTCGCCCTCTCCTCGGCGATCCAGGCAGCAAGAGCTAGCACCGCGGCTGCCGCCACCACCACCGCGTTTGTGGGCAGCAGCTGCGGCAACGGCGCGTTGGTATCGCGCTCGGCAAAGCCATCCCGTGCTGCTTCTTGGACGAGGAGACCAGGTGAGGGACCATGTGGTGGCGGTGAGTAGAGGGGGGTGCAATACGAAACAAGGGCGTGCGTGTTGCATGTTGCGGCGGCATGATGCGGCGGGTTTGCTGTGCGCGTCCGTCTCTCTCTGGCTGCTGAGGCCCCAGCAGCAATCCACAGCGCTCGCTGCCAGCCCACCTGGCGACAACGCCGAAGAGTTGTCGTGGTATTTGTTCCACCCACCTTGCTGCTTTTCGTCGGGGTGGCTCTCAAAATACTTGTACATGTCCCAGGTTGAAGCATGGTAAAATATGCTGCTCTGTGCGTATCTGGCATGTTTGCCCACAGAGCGTCGATCCTTGTGGACCGTGTTGCACCATCACACCATCACACATCCAACGTTTCCAAACGTTGACGCGGGTGACACCCTGTGCTGTACCCGTCCCTATTGGCAGAGGTACTTCACGTGGTGGTAAATGACCTTTTCGGAATCTGTCCCCGGTTTACATGCGTCAATATGTTCCTGTTTTTTCGACTAACGGGTGCCAACACGTTGGTATAGACCGGAGCTCTTGTTTGTACTGGTACATTGTACATGCAACCAAGGGTCAACGCGAAAACTTCCTGACACATGGGCCACCCCCCCCCCCCCCTCCGGAGGGGGAAGAATTTCGAAAAATCACCATGAATCGTCGAAAATTTACCATGAGGTTGCAGTATAGATGGATGGCAAACGTGCCTCACTCTGGTTATTAACCGTTCTGCATCTACATCGTCGTCATCGATTCCGGCCCACACTCACCCAGCCGTGCTGCTGCAGGAACACGCGGAAACAAGCAGCCTAGTTCGCGTAGCGCCTATATCTACGAAGAAAGTACAGTAGGTAACTACTTCAAGTCATTAGTACTACGTAGTAGTATCGATCAAAGTTCGAAATCAGTCCAATTCAACTGGAACAAGTAATTGACCAGCTTTCACATTGAAGCACCTGCCTTCCAAACTTGCCCTTGCCGCCTCCTCTAGCACTGCACAACAGGGAAAATAATCTCGCAAATCTACTCGTAGCCTTGGTCTTCTTGTAGAGTTACGTTTGACTTGACCAATCGGCCACACGGACGGGCGACTTGTGGGCTATAGCGGCTGCTCCTGGGGTATGCATGCGAAGATTGCGATGATCACCCTGTAGTGTGTGGGGTGTCTGCCATCTCTCGGGGATCTCCACAGCTCCACAGATCCAGCAGCGCCAGCGGTGATGCACACCGTGCGAGAACGGGACGCCAAAGCACGGACACCTCGGCAGAAAACCCGGGTATACATGGGTATATACCCCCCCCCCCGCCCCGAAACGCCCATGGCCCGGCGGAAAAACCCGGGGA